AACTTTTATCATCATACTCATGTATATGATAGATAATAAGACAAGTATCTATAATATGCATTTTAAATTAAGTACTTCGGCATAATAAATCTAACAATGTATAAGAAATAATAATTTGTGGCTTGTGGTTACGAATAAAACAATAGTGTCGTGGTCAAAATCGGTTCTGCGATGAAAGATGGAGTTCGAGATATGTGGCCTGTGATGTAACAGTTAAGGAGTTTCTAGATTAAAGAATTAAAGAGTTAGTTCAAAAGAAAAATAAAGATATATATATGAATATTGTAAGGATACTTATCGCTTAGTTTCGTTGGTTGGGTTCGAACACAACTTACCAATACTTACCAATACATACCAATACATAAACTTTGATGATCCACCTACATCTAGACATACACATCCTAAACTTTCCAAAATTAAGGCATTCAAGATCAAGATTTTACTTGACGAACTACCAACTTTGAACAATCTGCACAAACGTAATCCCATGAAATTTCCGAATACCATTTGTCCAGGGTGCAAAACCAAAATGAAGATAGCTTACATTGGATTATATGCCTGAGTAATGCTATCAACGTTAACAAGATCATAGCAGATGCAACAAGGCCACAAACAAAGAAAACATTGACAAAACGTATATCAAACAACTTCTCTGCTCAACAAATCTCGACCAAAATAATCATACAAATTGCATATGATAATCGGTCTTGTTCAACTGACATTTCCAAAACTATTAACTGTAACATCAGAAGACGCAACGCGAAAAACAACCCAATCAGCCATCTACTATATGAAATCATTAAAAGTATATATAGTCAAATATGGCTACCAAGATGTTAAAGCATAGCACAAAAAGTCAAGCACCAACAAACCAGAACAGCCCACATCAACCTACAACCAATAACACTTCGGACACAACATGCGAAATGAATGGAAAAGATAATAACAATATGCACAGCCGCACCCAGATTAAACTAGAAAAATGGTATACATAATTCATCAAAAACAATACATCGCCACTACAAATTGGAAATATCACAAACTAAGCAAGGCCTAGGCTGGGAGTAAAGTAGCTCAAGCCTATATCTCAAAAATAGAATTTAATGTACTACATTGTAAAATATAATGTATCTACAGAAAATTACTTAATAAAGAGAACGAGGCAAGGTCTCGCTTTATACAAAAAAAAAAAAAATATATAAACTTCAATTACTTTCGATAAGCAGAAGAATAGAAAAATTTTGTATAAATTATATTCACAATTTTTTCCTTAAATTAACTATATGTCTCTGCAGGATTCAAATCAAAAAATCGAAATAAACCTATGTTTTACGCTACATTTCTTGATAGTATTCGTGGTTTAGCAGCTTTAGTTGTCGTTTATGATCACACCCAGTATTTTGGTAAACAACGTTTGGCTTTTAGGACATTTACAAATTGGGAACTTATGGAGTAATCATGTTCTTTGTTCTTTCCGCTTTTTTACTTACTCTTCGGACTTTATTGGATTGGGAACAGTATCACGAAAAGAGAGAAGAGAAATAAATAGAACTGATTATTTAGAAAAAAATAAAACCAATTATTTAGAAAAAATAGAACTGATTATTTAGAAAAAAATAAAACTAATTATTTAGAAAAAAATAGAACTGATTATTTAGAAAAAAATAGAACCGATTATTTAGAAAGCTGTGTTGACCTCGAGCCAAACTTATCAAGTGTCCCACTCTTATCAATGATAAATTCTGATAACATTGTAATGTCTTACTGTGCTATTAGGCCACGCAAAGTTAATTTTTCGTTTTGCATAACCTGGTGTTTCAAAATTCCGGTCGGCAGGTCGGATTTTGGTTTGTTTTTTTTTTTTTTAAAAAAAAAAAATTAACTTTGCGTGGCCTAAATTAATTCATGTTCACATCTAAGGTTATGCAAAGTTAATTCTTCGGTTTGCATAACATGGAATCAGAAAATTTCGAATTTTTTTTTCGGACATATCGGGACTTCCGGAAAATTAAGGTCATCATCGGGTGACACCGGAGAAAAAATTAAATTGCAAAAATAGAATAATTGGCACAATAGGATTTTTTTAAAAAAAAATTTTTTTTGGAAAAATTGGGTCAGCGGGTTATGCAAAACGAAAATTTAACTTTGCTTGGCCTTATATTTGATTGAAATTATTTTATAATTATAGCTAATCGTTTATTAATAAAATATTAGACTGAAATATTCTCATTAGACAAAAGATCTGATAATTTTTTCTGCTATTTTATCCGAAAAAAAATATGGTTAAAATATCAAATACCAATAAAATTTTGGTTAAAGCTCTTTCTTCGTCAATTTATGCGTGTATACCCACCGTATACGATTCTTTTAGTGTTTATTGCATCTAATGACTTCACGAGAAATACATATAGAAATCATACGACTTTAATTCAGCATCTATTTTTTCAAGCGGATAAAAAATTTATTTTTTGGACTCTTCCTGTAGAATTAACGGTATTTATTTTTCTAATAGTTTTGATAAATTTTCACTAGTCTAAATCAAAAAAAATTTCAATATTTCGAACGGCACCGTTCAGTGCTGTTTGACATGACAATTATTGGTATACATAAATAATATTATATATAACAAATATAGTTATAAAATTTAATACATTATCAAAGAATTCGACATGTTGAACGGCACAAATCAGCTGCCATTCGACCATCACTCAACAAGCATATAAGTTGTATGTCATCGGATATGTGGAGTTTGCTCGTTTTGGTGCTTTCCTTACAAACCATTACCAGAAGCCTGGAATTGGTGCTTGAATATGTCGAGTTCTTGCTATTGTTATTCTTGTGACAATGCGAACAGAAGTTTTAATAGCTCACGGGAAGATTACAGTAAAAACCAAACCAAGTTTCATGAAACCAACTTTCTGGGCGTTATTCATATCTTTTTGACTGGATCAATATGTGGTCAAATGATTTGCAATATTGACCAAAATTATACCAGTACGATCACGTTTATTGTGTAACATGAAATGTGGTAGGGATGGTTTCCTTCAACTTTTTGATGTCGCTTATCCTGTTTTTTGCAAAATCCTTTTTCAGTAGGAGTAATGATTTTCATTTATTCGTTTTTGGAAGGAGTTAACATTTTTTACTTACCGTATATGTAAAATATATAATTTCATATGCAAATCGCTCACTATGATGCAAAGCTGGCGTCACTGA